CCTAAAGGCTTTGTTGTGGTGTTCCAAAAAACCGCCAAAGATTTGTAAGATCCTTGCGGATATTCAACGATTTGTTTTTCGACGTAAAAATTAAAAGTTACATATCTAAAAAGTTTTTATGAAGATGTAACAGTTTGCTCTAATATTTCATGGTATCTAAATTCCAGAAACCACGCAGTACGATCAGTACCTGCTGCAAAACATGCATATGTTCTGTGCGCCACAGACGAAACTCTTCAAACACATTACATGAAATGAATCCTGTTTGTAATAATGATCAATTAATGATAATCATGAAAAAGGTCTACATTTAATTCCTTTTTTCTTTAACACTTAAATTTTCACGCAATTTTTCTCTTTCTTTATCATTTATCATATAAGAATGATTCTTATCATCTACGCATGCGGAATGTTGCACGCAAATATATGCGATTTATATTACATCTATTTCATCAATCTATGTTTATGTGAAATACGTCACGTATCTTGCTATTAATTAATTCTACAGAAGATTAGAACAAATGCGACAGAGTCAACGCTTGCTATAAAGAAAGCAGCAGAATCTAAGTTGGGAGCAGAATTTAACGTATTTTGTGCGAAGGATGATTTAACACATGTGACACAAGTAGAAAGTTTTTGTCAACACAAAAAAGACAATATTATGTGCTTTGCTTATAAATTGTAATCATATTCGTTGCTCGATTAAATCTAATTTGTCAGTGAAAAAAGAATGGTCAGTGGTCAATTATGCAGTATGCAGTACATCATGACGCTTTGGTTAAATTTCATACATTCAGAAAAGGAAAAAAACTTATAAAATGGGTTTTAGTACAAATAATTTGGCTTCAGTAATACTTTCGCCTGAACATTCCGTATCTTTCTTATTTTCGAATCAATCTTCTTTGTTGACCAAAGCATAATACATTAAAGGTAAGTCTGAATAGGATAATGTTATGTGTTGTAATAATTTCTGAAAGAGATTCATTGCATCGGATGTTAACCTTTTCTGTTTTATTTTCTTCATTGTGATTTAAATTTGAAATCTCTTTTTTTTGCAATTCAAATTATTTTTTGAAAAAATATCACAACATATGAACATTACAGAAAAAGAAGATCACAAAATGAATTGTCTTAATGAAATCCGAACAGACCTGGACTAACTGTTGTTGTTCATATGAACGTGTAGAGAGTTTGAAAAGCAAGTTTGAGCTCAATATAAAAAGAACAAATTTCAACTGATTAGTGAACTGTTTGCTGATTTCTCGCAAATGATTAACAAACGAGTGATAGTGTCCAAACTACTTTGATATTTAGATCATCAGATCTTGTCAACATCAAACAACTTGTCCATCCTAGCCGCCAATTCATCCTACATTGTTTTATTTTTTGAATTCTGCCACATTCACATAATAAATTCTTCAATACAACATGATAAACGATGAAGTAAAGAATACTAAACAATCAATTTTTTCGCAACTACCGATTTTTCGAAATTTCCATTTCAAATCAATTTATTTCCCAACCCTTGAAATTGATTTCAATTTCGACCACTAAGTTCCAAATCCCTCCTCTCTCCAAAAAAAAAAAATTGGAAACTTGCCGTTTGTGCTTTTCTTCAGTACTATGCACTGCGACTTCGGTTTCCTAATTTTTATAGTTAATTAGTTCTATGATCCGTTTCAAATGATGGATTACGAATTCAGCAATCTAATAGTGGTACTATTCTTGGCCAGTTCATCTCATTGGGCATATTTACAAGTTGTTATGCTGTTATGCAGTCAGGATCATCTTGAAAATATGCCCAGGCAATCAGCAAATTTTATCAAAAATCTAGTATACCACATAGCATGAATGTTATTACCGTCTTCAACTGCTATCATCGTGGGGATATTTAAATATCACTAAATTATAAAATAATTGAGTTGAATTAAATAGTGATAATCAAATCTTAATTAGAAGTTGTAACTCACATTATAGCGGGTAGAGTTTTGCAGAAGGTTAGAAAGTCATTTCGAGAAAGTATTCATTAATAGGCTAAGGTATGCTAAAGGATGCACAGGCTCAAAAGAGAATAGAAAAGAAACAAAAATAACAAGTGACAAGATCTTAACATAGCATATGGAAAGTAGCACTGAAAATTTTATTACCTTTTGCACCTTAGATCTAAACATCTCAAATCATTGCACTTAGCAACAATCAATTATAATCGTCAGAATGACTGATGAAATATGATCGACGCAAAGGACGGATCATAAAAGAAAAAAGAATGTCGCAAAGGACGGGTCGTAAACGAAAAAAGACATTTCGCAAAGGACGGATCGTAAAAGGAAAAAGACATGTCGCAAAGGACGCATTGTTTCCTGCGCATACTCAATTGTGACAGAGACAATCGTAAATATGCCGAATGATGGGAAACTGAGAAATACTGTAAGGTTATTACAATATAAGTTATATTATTATTCATAAGTTATTGAAAGTATTCATAAGTTCAAGGTAAGTAATGAAGATTTGTGACTGGTTCAGTTGCATGCAGGAAACTTAAATGCATACAAAAATACAGAACATTATATATGGAGAGGATAAATGAGGAGACAGCCACTTGTCGAATTTATGCACGTATTGCGGAATGCGACAGTATTTTTTCAGTCCTGTCTTATCTCGTCTGATCACGGAGCGGAAGTCAATGAACAAGCCTGTCAACGCTTAATTGATCACTGTCGTGGAAATGATGGTATAGGCTTGTAGTTATTCATCATCAAGAAACATTTCATTTCAACTTATCTGCTGTGGAAAATTCCAGAAAATATATACTGTGAGAAACTCCAGAAGAAAAAATAGAAAATATTCCAGAACAAAATATTTACTATAAAAAAATTCCAGGAAATATCTACCATGGAAAATTCCAGGAAATATCTACCATGGAAAATTCCAGGAAATATCTACCATGGAAAATTCCTAGGAAATATCTACCATGGAAAATTCCAGGAAATATCTACCATGGAAAATTCCA